CAGCATGACAGCCCCTCATCACAAAGGGTGGCTCGGTCAAATTGCTCCCTCAACTGCTCCATGGAATTCCCCCGAGGCTCCATCAGGGGCTTTGGGAGCCTGGCCTGTGCCCAGTTCTACATCCAATCCACTCTTCCCAGCTCACTCAGGGGCCTTCCCCCTTTCTGGGCAATGGGGTGGGGGAACTCAACCTCAGCTGCTTTAGGGGTTATTTTCCACCAATAATCATTCCTTCTTACTGCGATTGCTGGGGCAGGCATCTCCGCTTTGATGTTCGGGGAGGGCTGCACTCCAGTTGCAATTAGGCTGCTGGGTCCTGTAATTGCCTGCTTGGAGGTGAGCTCTGCCTCCCTTTCAGTCATTTGGAGCAGGGTCTCTTCAGATAGTCCGCCCTCTGCCATGGTTACCTGAGTTTCTTTCCAAGTACCCCAGATGTCGGGGAGCAACTGGAGAGGTCGGCACCCAGGAAACCCGGTAATCTTGATTAGTTTAAAAAGAGAGCTGACTCGCTGTCAGGGTTCCGATGGATGCCACAATTAATTCATGAGCCTCGAGCCAAGTTTCAAAAGAAATCCAATTATCTATTAGGAGCAACATGTTGGCACATATCCAAGTGAAGTCAGCTCTACCCCATGTAATTTACGTCCTAACTATGACCCTGTTTCCTCCCTCCTCCGAGGGTGTGTCATAAAGCACTCTCCAATGGAGCACTTTGGCGGACTATAGAGAACACACTTCTCTGGCTGGCTCTGGTAACCTAGGATGCAACTTTGAGAAAGGTATGCGTGGAATATGCTTCTGGTTGCTGCCGTATTGCTCCATCAATTTTTTCCCCCTCCTGCCTATGGCAACTTGAGAGCAGGCCAGGAATGCTTTACGAGTTGACACTCGATTCTTACAGTCCTTGCAACCATCTAAAAAACTTGAACCAAAATTTGTAGGACCATTATTAACCCGGTCACAGTGGAACTGCAATTACCCAAGTCAAGATTGCGGCAAGTGCACCCAATCTTCCATTGCAGCCTATTAAAACCCAAAGTGACCTCGGTCTTACGACCCACATACCCCTCTTATCACAACCCATTATGGTAGAGGGCAAAAAACACTTCGAGATTAAACAGACCCTTGATTCAAGATGGCACCAGGGGTCCACCCAGTATTTAGTGGCCTGGAAAGACTTCCACACATCTCAAAATGCATTCACAAAAAACACAGAGCCCCTAGATTAATCAAGCGCTTCCACCAACTCTACCTTGACAATAATTCATTGTTCTTATTGTCTTTCCCTTTATTATTTTCTTTGTCTCCAGGGGGACATCTCCTTTTCTTAGGGGGGGTAGCATGTCAGGTCCCATTGATCTCTATCAAGACCTTGCCATTCTGGAGGATGGGGGGAGGATTCGGGCTATGCTTGCATGGGATTTTCCTTTGTTCCTGTTCTCTGCTTTGATGTACCTTTAGGATGTTGGGAGGGGGGAAAGAATGTGCCTTGGACCATCCGTTTTGTCTCACCACTGGAAGAGTGAGATCATGGCACCTGTTATCATCTTCTCAACCCAAAGTTCTCACAACATCTTCACACTTTGGGATTGGCTCAAAGGTGAACTGGATATTGAAAGTTTAATGGTTTGATGGTTTAACCTAACACTCCAGCATGCGAAATTCAGATTCTGCCTACACTCTCTCTACTATCAATGTCTTCCAATAAAAGATCCTTTTGAAATGCCATTCGTTTCAAGAGTTCTGCTTTCTTGAAAAGGCTGGTGAGGCAGGACTCTACAAGCACATTTAATTAAAATTGATAAAATGTACCAATTCTTCTTAAACCTGCTTTAAATTCTCGGATGGAAGTATGTCAGATAGAATGCATACAATCAGTATTGTATTTCAAATACATTACAAAACAGGTGTAATGCTAGAAAGAGAGCCAGGTAGTGATAAAGACTTGGAATTTTAGTCCTGCTTCAAGCCCAGAAACCAGCTGATGACTTTGGGTGAGACACAATCTTTCACCCTGAGGAATGAGGTAAGAGCAACCACTTCCAAAAATGCCAATGCAATCACCAGCAGCCAAGGCTGACTTGAATATATGTACACATATATAAAATATGCTAGAAATTGCAGCACTAAATTTTTTTGTTAAAATCACATCAATTAGCTTATTATAGTATATAGCAGTGTTGGTGAACCTTTTTCTCGTGGCGTGCCGGAAGTGTATATGTGCGCGCGCAACAGCTCACGCGTGCCAGCACCCATAATGCAATGCGAACCCTCCCACATGCGCATGCGCACATGACCCCCCCACACATGCACCCCACATTGCGCATGCGTGCCCCGCACATGCGCTTCGCCCCCCCGCCCCATTTTGGGCCTGGAAGGTCATTATTCTGAGGGCGGTCCGGGTCTTTCCTGTCTCCCCGCCTGAGCCGACTTCTGGCATAGCCCCAGGCCTCTAGGGGGAGGGAGGGAGGGAAGCCTTGGCCTGCTGCTCCTGCCGCTGCCACCCTCTTGCCCCCAGCAAGAGTGGTTCTTGTGCTGCCGCTTCTCCAGCAGCACCAGGAGCAACTGCCGGGGCAGAGAGGGCAGGGGCAGGCTGTGATGGCAGGCCGTTCTTGCCTGGTAACAAACAGGCTGCTCCTGGAGCAGCCAGGAGAAGGAGAAGCCCCAAGCAGGGAGGTGACCTGCCCCAGGAGGACCAGAGGAGAGCGCAGCTCCTCACTCATGGAGATCCACCAGTGGGGAAGTGATCGTGGAAAGCAGTAAGAGGTGCATAAGCCAGGAAGCAGTCATGCTCCCTGGCAGGAGAGGGCTGCACACCTGTCTCTTAGCTGGCGAGAACGGCCACAGTCTGCCCCCATCCTCTCTCTCCAAAGTTCTCACGGCAGAGGCAGTGTTGCTTACCCGCTGAAAGCACAGCCCTGGCTGCTGTTTCTGCCTCTTCTCCAACCACTCAGAGCCCTGTGTAATAGAGCTGCTGTGTAATAGCGCCTGCTTGAGGTAGCTGCAGTTTGGACTTCCCCCCCCTTCCTCCATCTTCTCCTTGAGGAGCCTCGCGGCATGACCGAGGCTGAGGAGGGGCAGGATAGTAGCTGCACGGATCCCCCGGCACCGCGTGTGTCCCCTGCGCTGCAACAATGAAGCGCTTTGCCAAGGAAAGCAGAGTCTCAGGCTGCTCCTGGAGCAGCCAGGAGGAGAAGCAACCAGTGGGGAGGTGAGCCGCCCCAGGAGGACTGGAGGACAGCGCAGCTCCTCACTCATGGAGATCTACCAGTGGGGAAGTGGTCGCGGTAAGAGGTGCGCTGGCCAGGAAGTGGTCATGCTCCCTGGCTGGAGAGGGTAGCACAAACCTTTACTGGCGTGAACGTGCAACCTTCTCCTGCCAGGGAGCATAACCATTTCCTGGCTTGCGCACCTCTTACTCTTTCTGCGACCACTTCCCCACTGGTGGATCTCCATGAGTGAGGAGCTGCGCTCTCCTCCGGTTCTCCTGGGACAGCTCGCCTCCCCACTGGGGGCTTCTCCTTCTCCTGGCTGCTCCAGGAGCAGCCTGTCTGTTACCAGGCAAGAACGGCCTGCCACCACAGCCTGCCCCCGCCCTCTCTGCCCTGGCAGTTGCTCCTGGTGCTGCCGGAGAAGTGGCAGCACGAGAACTGCTCTTGCTGGGGGTAAGGGGGTGGCGGTGGCAGGAGCAGCAGGCCGGGGCTTCCCTCCCTCCCCCCCGGAGGCCTGGGGCTATGCCAGAAGTCTGCTCGGGGAGAAAGGGAAGCCCCGGACTGCCCATCCTTGCCACCACCGCCTCCAGCGGCAGCGGTTCTCGCACAGCCGTTTCCCTGGCAGTGGCAGAAGCAGCTGACAGGGGAGAGGGGATGGTGGCAGGCTGCAGCAGCAGGCAGTTCAAGCCAGCTAAGAGGCAGCCGTGGTTCCTCTTCCTGCCCGCCTCGAGCTCAGCTCCGGGCAGCATCCAGCCAGCCATACCTGGCCTCCCCCTGTGGCAGCCCACGTGGATCCCAGGCAGCACAACTTTGGGGCCTTTCCTCATGGTGGCGGTGACGAGGCCGGCAGGCAGCCAGGCGCACGGGAGCGACTAGGTGCAGCGTTCCTGGCTGGCAAAGGGTGGAATCCTGGGGCTGCATGTGGACAATGACGGCATGGCCGGTGCACACGGGCACTAAGACGTTAAGGCCAGCTGATCGTCGCACACGCATGCGCACCAGTAACCAGTAGACTAGCTGGCTGGTGCGCATGCATGCCCTGGAAACCCAGAAGAGGAATGGGCGACTGCACGCATGCTGGGCGGCATGGCTCTGTGTGCCACTTCCGGCACGCGTGCCATAGGTTCACCAACACAGGTATATAGTATAGCCTTTATTGTCATTGTACATCATGTATACAACAAAATTGGTTTTAGCCTCACTAAAATCCATGACAAAAAATACAAACAACATAAATAGTATAAAGAATAATCCCTATGCAAGTAATTGGGGAGGGAAAAGAAAAAGAACGAAAAACTAGTCATACATTTCCACGTGTGCGTGGAGTGATTGTGGTTGCGTTTAAGAGTCTGACAGCCCAAGGATAGAAACTATTTTTAAACCTATTTGTTTGGCTGGCTATGCTTCAATGTCTTCTGCCCGATGGTAGAAGTGCAAAGAGACACTGACTAGGGTGTTAATCATCTCTGAGTATCTTTCTTAGTCTGCTAAAGCAGCAAGATCTGGCGATGTCATCCAGTGGTGTTAAGAGGGCAACCAATGGTTTCTTGTGCCAAATTGATCACTCTCTGTAATGCCTTCCTGTTCGCAGCAGTTAAACCAGTGTACCATACTGTAATGTAGTATGTGAGGACACTTTCTATAGTGGACCGATAGAAAGAGGTCATCAGCCGTTGTAATATTATTATTCTAATATCACAGAGAATACTGATAACATTTATCTCTGTCATTATTTTCTGTTCCACGATCAAAATATGCAGTATTTTTTAAAAAGGGCAAACAAACAAATGTCAAGAAAGTATTTATTATTAGACTTAAGAACATTTGAGGAAAATTTTAGTACAAACCTATTTGTTTTAAGGCAAATGGTCAGGCCTACATATCAATGTGCTTTCAGTAATTCAAAGGAACACACTGAACTGAGACTGTTTCAAATTTGTTATAATATAAAAACAATTAAAAGTGCTTCATGCTTTGACATACCCTACCCTAAATGTGATACAGTTCACAGACACAGTTTAGGCAAATTCTTTACAGCAATACTAGAACTACATACTATTTACAACATGTAAATGGGGTCCTGTACACTAGAGAGGTATGTTTAATAGTATGTTTATGTAAAAACATGTTTTTTCCTCCTTCGTATCTCATTTAATAGTTTCATATAGTAGAGAGAAGACACTTTAATTCTTAATGTAACCAAGACATATTTGAGAATGATTGATAGAAAAAAAGACACTAAAACTGAATTGTTTTAAAATGGAGAGAAAATAATGCTCAACTTCATTCATATTCATTTATGTTCAAGCAGACTTTCTTCGATTTATCTTCTGACTGATGCTCGGTTAAAGAAGAATATTTCTACCAACTCGGTCTTAAGTTAAATATCTGAAAATAGTAAATAATGCTGATCCAAGTCTTTAAGAAAAAAACATGTCAAATATGAAGAATGTTAGCATTCACATTTTCAGTTTCTGTGCAATTTGAATTGGTAGTCTCTGTATGATGGCTTCTAAGGATACTTGAATATTCAGCATTTGATTTTTCTAATCTGCTCTTTTTGCTTGTATCTGGGCAGTTCTGTACATATATCACACGGTTATAAGCTTTAAGTCTTTTCCACAGTTGTACATAAACTTTGCATTGAACATACATGAAAAGAATTCCACCGGTGAAACCAATAGCCACTACTACTAGCTTAGTCCAAAATGGCCATTCTAGAATACCTGGTGTGCAGAAGGATTCAAAATGCTCAGAATTAGAATTTAAAGTTAAATAAAGCTGTAAGTCACTAGAATATTCAGATACATGGCTGCTAAGATAGCAGCAAAAGATTTATGTCAAGATATAAAAGCGTTAAACAAGCATTTAAGAGAAATACATTGGAAAATGCACACACACACACACACACACACATATATATATATATAATTAAATTTTTCTTTCTTTTTTGTAGGCTTTTATGTGCATATTCTTTCTAGCCAGGTTTTACCTACGTAAGCTATGATGTTAGGCAGCCCTGGTTCTGTGAAATCTCATTCACAAGTTTCTGGGCTTTTTGTTTCTTGCTGACAGACAGCAGACTCTGTGCTGCCCTTTGGGAGACTATATATATACACAGTGGGGCAAAAAGTATTTAGTCAGCCACCAATTGTGCAAGTTCTCCCACTTAAAAAGATGAGAGAGGCCTGTAATTAACATCATAGGTAGACCTCAACTATGAGAGACAAAATGAGAAAACAAATCCAGACAATCACATTGTCTGATTTGGAAAGAATTTATTTGCAAATTATGGTGGAAAATAAGTATTTGGTCACCTAGAAACAAGCAAGATTTCTGGCTCTCACAGACCTGTAACTTCTTCTTTAAGAGGCTCCTCTGTCCTCCACTCATTACCTGTATTAATGGCACCTGTTTGAACTTGTTATCAGTATAAAAGACACCTGTCCACAACCTCAAACAGTCACACTCCAAACTCTACTATGGTGAAGACCAAAGAGCTGTCGAAGGACACCAGAAACAAAATTGTAGACCTACACCAGGCTGGGAAGACTGAACCTGCAATAGGCAAGCAGCTTGGTGTGAAGAAATCAACTGTGGGAGCAATAATTAGAAAATGGAAGACATACAAGACCACTGATAATCTCCCTCGATCAGGGGCTCCACACAAAAGCTCACCGCGTGGGGTCAAAATGATCACAAGAACGGTGAGCAAAAATCCCAGAACCACACGGGGGGACCTAGTGAATGACCTGCAGAGAGCTGGGACCAACGTAACAAAGGCTACCATCAGTAACACACTACGACGCCAGGGACTCAGATCCTACAGTGCCAGACGTGTCCCCCTGCTTAAGCCAGTACATGTCCGGGCCCGTCTGAAGTTTGCTAGAGAGCATTTGGATGATCCAGAAGAGGATTGGGAGAATGTCATACGGTCAGATGAAACCAAAGTAGAATTGTTTGATAGAAACACAACTCGTCATGTTTGGAGGAGAGAGAATGCTGAGTTGCATCCAAAGAACACCATACCTACTGTGAAGCATGGGAGTGGCAACATCATGCTTTGGGGCTGTTTCTCTGCAAAGGGACCAGGACGACTGATCCGTGTACAGGAAAGAATGAATGGGGCCATGTATCGTGAGATTCTGAGTGCAAACCTCCTTCCATCAGCAAGGGCATTGAAGATGAAACAGGGCTGAGTCTTTCAGCATGACAATGATCCCAAACACACCGCCCGGGCAACGAAGGAGTGGCTTCGTAAGAAGCATTTCAAGGTCCTGGAGTGGCCTAGCCAGTCTCCAGATCTCAACCCCATAGAAAACCTTTGGAGGGAGTTGAAAGTCCGTGTTGCCCAGCGACAGCCCCAAAACATCACTGCTCTAGAGGAGATCTGCATGGAGGAATGGGCCAACATACCAGCAACAGTGTGTGCCAACCTTGTGAAGACTTACAGAAAATGTTTGACCTCTGTCATTGCCAACGAAGGATATATAACAAAGTATTGAGATGAACTTTTGATATTGACCAAATACTTATTTTCCACCATAATTTGCAAATAAATTCTTTCCGAATCAGACAATGTGATTGTCTGGATTTGTTTTCTCATTTTGTCTCTCATAATTGAGGTCTACCTATGATGACAATTACAGGCCTCTCTCATCTTTTTAAGTGGGAGAACTTGCACAATTGGTGGCTGACTAAATACTTTTTTGCCCCACTGTGTGTGTGTGTGTGTGTGTGTGTGTGTGTGTGTGTGTATACACACACACACACACAAACATACATACACACACACACACACATATACATATATCATATACATATATCATATACATATAGGTAGATTTTCACGGGTAGAGTTATACAAGTTTTGGTGTATTCGGGTCTTTTCCCATGTAAGATTGAGAGTATCTTGGTGACGTTTATAGAGAGACAGCAGCTCCGATCACGCTTTCCTCGCACAAGCACGAAGCCGAAGACACCAGCCTGAAGATGACGAGTGGGACCTCGTCAAAATGTTGCCAAGATACTCTCAATCTTACACGGGAAAAGACCCGAATACACCAAAACTTCCATAGATAGATAGATAGATAGATAGATAGATAGATAGATAGATAGATAGATAGATGATAGATAGATAGATAGATAATAGATAGATGATAGATAGATAGCACTTAATTTGCAATAAATTCATTCAGCTTTCATTATTTGAAGAGAATGTTATGCTCATTTCTTTATGCATAGTTTTCAACAGAGGATGACACTGAATTAGGGCAGCTCAGTTCTTGTACACTGTGGTGATCATGAAATTAATCCAAATAAGTCAGCCTGACATATACCAAGATTTGGGGGTTTTTTTGAATCTTGGGGCAGCTGGGACATGATCTGGTTATAGAGGACATTACCGTCAGCCCATTACCATGGACAAATCACTGGCTGAAGCCTTTCAACTTACCAGTGCCACCTATTCTCAGAGGGAGACAAGACCTATTAGTCCAGTCTGCTCAAAACAGCTTGGGGTTCCAGAGGGAGTGAAAGCTTTGATGGGTGGTTTGGCTGCAGCTCTACTTGTTGCCAAAAATTGAGCACACTGATGAGTTCAGGGGTCCTTGGTGCTCTCTGAGCTTTGTTGTTTTCTTGCAGATGTTTCATTACCCTAACTAAATAACATCATCAGTACTAGTGACTAGCACTGATGTTGTTACCTAGTTTGGGTAATGAAACATCTGCAAGAAAACAACAAAGCTCAGAGAGCACCAAGGACCCCACATTTCAACCCTGAGCAACCTCCTTCATTGGTACAAGTGATGATAACACACATTGGATTGCTCCTATGTAGCCACTAGCTGTAAGTCAATCTCTGGCACTCCCTGGTTTTTTGAAGAACTCCAGGAAATGAAATACAGCAAAAGATGCCTATAGTACCAGGGGGAAGACAAGAGTGAACCCAAACAATCACAAGTAAGAGCTCATACTAAGGATTGCACCGTGGTGAAAAGAACAACAGTTACTTTTTGACGCCTAATGCCTAATAGTCTCGCACAGGCTGTCTTAACACATGGGCCTGATGGGCACTTGCCCATGGGCCCAAAGAGCATAGGGGCCGCATACCAATTTGTTGGAAGTGCCAATAAAATAAATATGTTTAATTTTATCAACCATTTACATTTTTATTCCTGTGAGTAGCTGTCATAGGGGCCCCAGTACACTGCTTTGCCCAGGGCCCATAATGCTGTTAAGACGGCAGCACAGAATATGGCACCACTTGCTCCCTCAAAATAATATTAATCAACCTAGCTATTGACTCTATTTATAGCTTCCTGAAAGAGCCAGGTGGGGCCATGATCCATCCTATAGGGGAAGAAACTCATGCTGCAAAGACCATGTCCATCTCATCAGAGTCAATAAGCTCATAAGCATCTCAGATCATTTCACAAAGTATCACTCCAGTTACTTCCTTTGGCTCTGCCAATGAAGCGTCAAGATTTGAACAAGTACAAGTGATGGAATCAGTAAATATTTCATAGCAGTTTGAATAAAAGCTCTTTTGAGCTAACTTTTCTTTGAATAGTATAGTATAAGTCATCTTAAACAGGGCTGCTAAATGACTTTCTGCTGGTGTAACAAGGTTGGTGAAATATAAATACTACACTGCTCTCATCACCACAAGTAGGCCCAAGGCTCCAACTTGCATTCAATCATGTTCATTTGCTATAAGAATCATTTTTGTTCCTGGAGATCCTGGGTAAACCATTACATTTCTTGGGAACTGTAAACAGGGAGACATCTCTTAGGGGCATTGCCCTTAAAGTTGCATATTTCAGAGTTCAATGAGTGATATAGCTATTACTCATACATATAGGCGTGAGTACATCTGTCTGGGAAATGCCCACACTTATTGAAAACTAAGCAGATCCATTCAATACCTCAGGTGCACAATCTTATTATCATATAGAGGTAAAAACTAAATGAAGGCTGATCAGAAAATGTTCTATGACCAATAAGATGTTCCCCTTTCTTTTCTTTTCTTTTTATTATTATTTTTTATTATGCAATTTCCTTTTGACAGTATGGTAGTGTACTGTTGGGGTACAATCTCTTTTAAACACAAATAATAAATCTTATACACATAATAGTTATAACCATTATGTTCACTTATCCTCATTAAACATTTTCTGTTATTTAATTAAACGCTCTGTTCAGTTTTGTCTACAATTAGTTAATATCGAACTTTATAAACATTATATAAACATCACATTTGTAACCCTTGTCCTCCAAGTCTATTAATCATGTTTACTTATCCTCATTATTCAATATTCATTATTTAATTACACACTTCATTTTTATTTACATATCCTCCTTAATTCTAAATGTCACGAGTGTTTCCAGGATTGCTGTGGCTACTTGCCTACTCACAAACAGTATGGTTTCAATCAAGCCATCTCCTGTTTGTAATTACCTGCAAGCCTTCCCCGCCCTAGTTAATTGCAGGTTAACTCCCCATATAAGCAAGGACCTTTTCGCTTGCTACTCGGGCCTAGACTCCTGGTTTAGGCCTAAATGCACAGCTCCTGCAGGAAGCTCAGTGCAACGCCGCAGATGGGAGAAGAATGCAGATAAGGTCTCCAGACGCCGTTGCAGAGAAACTCCCATGGATGCTTGCCTTTTGCTGTTTTGAAGCACGCAAGCTATCATCGGGACTGCTGCTGGACCTTTTTCCTCCCAC